TGGCCAAGCCAAGCCCTGCAGGATCCAGCTCTGGTGCCCAGCACTCCCTGCAGGAGCGGGGCTGTCCCCAGGGGCACCTGCTCTGTTAGAGCAGATTTACAGCAAAGAGTTCCTCCATCCCTGAGGAGAAAAGGGCTCTCTGCTTCCTCTCCACCTCTTGCCAACCTGCTCTCGGCCTCGAGCTCTTCTCCAAACACTCCAGCCCAAACCTTTGCTCACTGCCAGCGCAAAACCTTCCACGAAACCCAGCAGGACAGGCACTCATCCCTGTTTGCATCTGCATGGAAGCATCTCCTCAAACACCAGAGGAACAGGGACTGGAATGACTCAAAATCCACTCCTTTTTGCTCAGTACTTCGTTGGCTTTCTTTGGAGTTGGGGGAAATTTTTAATAGTGCTGACTATTGATAATCTGTCACTGGGAATTTGCTCAGCACTTCGCGGCGCCGGCGCTAAAAATGCAAGGTCCTGCTCCCCAGAGTGCCTGGAAACATCGAGGGAAAGCAAATCTGGGGAAGTGGTAAGGTCGTGGAGATGAGGAGTTCCAAGGGCACAGCCAGCTGAGAAGGCTGCTGGGGCCAGGACCAAGCAAGGCTTGTGGGGGACTTGGAGGAGAAAAGGGAGAGCAGCGTGGCTCTGTTGGAAGCTCACTGCCTGTGCTGAAGTGTGGGAACCCAGGGCTTCCCTCTGGCTGCCCTGGGAGGTCTGAGACCCTGGCAGGGGGTCAGGAACCCCCCTGGACAGAGCCCCCAGAGACACTGTCTGTGATCTCTGTCCATGGAAAAGAGTTTTCAATCTTACAGGATGAATTACAAGCTTTGAGTGTTTTATAAGAGTAATACTTAAGTGTGACATGGGTGCAAAAGTAAAATTTTAGGATTCTAGATTAGGGGTTCAGAGGGGACAAGATGGAGGAAATTGGGTGTGCCTTGTCCTTTTCCTCCTTCTTCATGCCCTCCATGTTTCACTGTGGTGTTGGCATTTTTCTATTGGTTTAGGCTGGGGACACACTGTCCAACGTAGGTGACAGATATTGGCACGTTATTGTAAATCCAGCACAGGTAGTTTGTGGTATTTAATGTTTGTACCATCCCACTGAGGGCAGAGCCCCACACGCTGCCCTGCAGGACAGAGCTGCGGCAGGGCAGCAGAACATGTTAGAGATAAACAGAATAAACAACCTTGAAACAGCACAGACCAATTATGGCTTCTGCTTTGGCAGTGGGGCAGAAAGACAGAGACTTTCTACAATCTCAGAATCACCAATACCCACAGATTCCGACACTGAAGGAGCACCATGGCTTTGGGTCCGCCACATGACCTTGAGTCACGTCATCTGCTTTCCTCTGCTGCCCTTTCCCTGGAGATGGGCAAACAGGGCTCGGGGAGCTCTTGGAGATCCTTGGGTAGAAGCACAGAAATGCCAGCTTTGGTTATCAGGAGGAGGGCTAGAGGAAGGTACAGGTGAGAGGAGCCCCAGACAGGAGAGAGATGGAGAAGGGTAAGCACAACTCTGTGTCCTCAGGGAATTTGTAGCAGAAAGTGAGGACAGAAATAGCCTTTAAAACAACCTTGCTGCAAACTTAAAGTGCATTTAACTCTGTTTTAGTGTCACTTTTATTCCTGATAACCTCTGATCCAGCAGGCAGACCTTCATTTTCTCCTGTTGCTGGGCTGGGCTCCCGCGTTTGTTTTTTCCCCCTTCCCATGTTGCTCCCTGATAATGTCACACAGAGCTGCCGAAGCCAGCTGTAGTTTTGACAGATGATGTACCAGTTCCCTCTGCTTCAGATTTGACATTTCCACGAGCACTGAACACACATGCTTGCAAATTTTGAAAGGGAAAAGAAACCCCACCACTGCTCTCTCCTGGTTTGGTTTGTTGGGGTGGGATTTTTTGGTGTGCGTGTCATTTTGGAGTTGTTGGAAAACGCTGGATGAACGGATCTTGAAACTGAAACCTGCTGTGCTGGGGTGCTGAAAGGCACTGTGTGGGATGCTCCCCACCCTGGTGGCAGTGCCATCCATGGCACCTTCTCACCCATGCCACTACTCTGTGGTCCTGGATTTAGCACACAAAGCTCTGAATATTTCAGGGCTGTGCTGTGAGACACAGCAGCTCCTTCCTCCTTTGCAGCTGAGGCAGTGGAATACAATGGTTTGGGAAAGTTGATCCTCTGGAAGGTGGGAGGGAGGGCTAACCCCAGAAGGGAGCCTGTACCTGAAGCTTGGTCTCCTGGCAGAGAAAGAATGGGGGAAAAAGGTGGGAAGAACTTTAAAACCATCAGCTGATAATCTTTGAGCTTTCACGCTTTCAGCAGAAGAAGACTAGGGGAATTTTTCCTTCCATGTGGATGAAAGCAGGATCAGGCTATTTATCTTTGATGAAATGCCAAGAAATGGTTGATTGTGTTTAGAAGCAGCAAAAAGATGTAATAAATAGTGCTTCCTACTCTGAGAAATGAGTGAGGAGCCCAGATCTGATAACTGCCTGCACACATCCTTCCTCTTGTGCTGTGAGTGATGGGGCTCCAGCACCCACAGAGGATCTTAGGTTGGAGAACACACCGAAGTGTGTGACACTTCTGCCACCTTAAATCCCTACTAAACCTGCCTTGGGATGTCACAAAAGGGGCACTGGGAGTTGTTGTAGAGGAACCATTTCCACAGGGCAGCTCTGGGCAGTGCAGGGGAGGATTCTGCATGTCAGTCACTGTGTTCTGGTTTGAAAGCAAAACCAGTGAGAGACTGCAAGTAAGAAATACAATTTATTAGGAAAAGAAAAAAAAATACATGCAATAATTCAAAAGAAAAACCACGGACAGAGTCAGAATACAACCTGACACCCTGTTGGTCAGGGTGTAGGCAGCAGTCTAAATTGGACTGGCTGCAGTCCTCCTGGAGTGGCAGATGTGGTTCTGTGGGAGCAGTGATCCTGTAAAAGGGTGTAGTCTTCCTCTGAAGGTCCAGTGGAAAACCCCAGCTGTTCCTCTGGGAATCCAGTGGAAAGGCTGAGTCTCATGTCCCAAAAACTCAGATTATATCCAGGTAGGAATGCTTGGCTCCTCCCTCTGGGCAGAGCATCTCACAATGGAATGCTGCAGCTTTTATCAGTGACATTCAATAGCCCATTATCAGCAGATAATGGGCTGATAATGGGCTCCCTGGAGGGAGGATTGGTTTGTGGAAGAGATAAAGAAAACTGCCCAATTTAGAGAAGATAACTGCCACACCTCCGACAGATGGCAAATAGAATACATCTTGCCTTGCAGTCTAGGGCACACTGCACAGGAGAAAAGAAGCCCCCGTGCTGAGGCTCACCTAACTTTGGGAAGTCAGCTGATGAAAATCACCTTCGAGCTCCAGCCAGGGCAGAGGAGAGCTCCAGGCTGCTATTCCTTGTGGGAAGGCACAGTGAAGAGAAGGCAGTGAGGGTTTGCTGTGCAATCAGGGGCAACTGAAGGAAGAAGAAACACCTCAATGTCTTTAAAGAGAACCCCTCTGAATTCACAGCCAGCACCATGCCAATTCCTGTCTCACAAAGGGCTGCTCCTGTTGCTGTGGGGGCTGAGGTGATGTGAGATTTCAGAGGCTGGTGAAGATGCTGTGTTGAGCTGCTTGATGCCACCTCAGTGAGTGAACAACACCTGAATATTTTGCTTGGAAAATTAGAAGTGCCATACCAATCCAAAATCCCAAAATTACTGTCTTTTTTATTATTATTTCTTTTGTAACAGAGCCAGGGGAGCAGCTCACCCTACCCATTTTCCAGCATCCTGGTTTTCCCTGCATGGGAAACACCAGCCCATTGCATTGCACAGGCAGTCAAATAATATTTCCCTTCACTAATCACAGGAATGAATGCTGCCCCAGGCATAAAAGAGCAACAAAGGTTTGATCTATGCCCCAGCAGTGGCATTCACCTCCACATCTTGGACTTCTGGGCACCACCTCCATGTCTCTTTCCTTGCCTGGAATGTGTTTCAGCAGCGGCCCTGGGGATGCCAGGGGAAGGGTTGGAGGTGCCAGCCCCACCCCAAGCAGAGGGACAGGGAGGTGACAGCTGCTCAGGTGACAGCTCCTTCTTTTTGGGAGTCATCCGGGGGAATCATGTTTGTCTGGGAGGTTTGAACAGAAGTGGCAACAGATGCACTGTGTAATAAACCACAAAAATCACTATTGTGCTTTCAGGAGGGGAACAGAGGGGAGAAAAACTGCAGGCAGCAGAGATAAACCCAAGCAGAACTATGGAAAGGCAATATTTAATAGTTCACCAATCCCCTTTCCAAGGTGTGTTACCCCTAGAGCTGAATTAAGTATTGATCTTTTTTTTGGGTTTGTTTAAAAAAAAATTAAAAGGCACAAACCCAAGCATCTCCCACCACCAAAAATTTAAATGCTGGCTGCTGCCCCTCCTATTTCTCACACCTGAATGAGTGCATCCTCCCCTTTTTAGGCTGCCTGGGTCAGTTCTTGTTTGGCATCCCCATCCCAATGGCTCTGCCCAGGGTTTGATCATCCCACTGCTTTCTGGGGCTGTGCTGAGAGCCCAGCAAGGAAAATTGGGAATTTTTTTCTGGAGTCTTTTTGACAGGGGTGTATTTTACCATGCACAACTGAATTTTTTACTAGCACAACTGCAAATCTAGAGAAACCCTTGCAACTGTGAGAAAATGGGAAGGTGAAGGAGGTAAAGGGCAGTTCTGGAATCTTCTTGTGCTAACTTCATCTCTAAAACCTGTTAACAGGGCCTTTTGACACTGCATTGATACCACAAATAAATATAATCATCCCTGAGTGGTCTAGCTCTTTTCAGGAGGTATCTGCTTGGATAATTTTTAAATTTGTCTAAGGCAGCTTGGAATTACCTCCAAAGTGCTCTCTATAAAGCCAGATTGTACTGCATTTAATACACATGCTTTTAGCCCTTTCTTCCCTGATTTTTTTGGACTTTGATTGATATTTCTGTAGAGGACTTTATTTTTTATTCTCTTTTCAAGTGCCTGTGCTGGCTCACAAGTGACTCAGTATTTGATCAATACTGCTGGTGGCTGTTGGTGCAGCAACTGATGGGAAGCTGGAGGAGAATTATTCCCGTGAACGTCTTGAGAAAAATCAGTCAGAGAAGGCTGGTGAGTTTGCATGGCTTAAACATTCAGTGTTTTCTGAAATGGGGAGGGGAAACAGCCAGTAAACAGCTTTTGGAGAAGGCCAGAGGTATCTAAATAGTCAGTGGAGGGAGTTTATAGCGACAAATCACATTACCAGCAACCCCCTAAAAAAGCAGATTTCCAATGCCTCTGCGGCTGGCAGCAGGGAAAAGCCTGTCAGGACACAAGAAAGGCTTTTCTGGTCCAGCTGAAGAGCACGTCTGTGCTTACCACAAAGGCCGTCCTGACCTCCAGCTGCTTTCCTCTCCAGGGAATCCTGAGACTGATGTGATTTCTCTGCCTAGTAACACCCAGTAGATTTTCCTGCCTGCATCCCTCTGTGAGCCCACACAAATCTCTTCTTCCCCGAGATGTAAAATGTGCAGAGCAATGCTGTTGAAATTTGCACCTAAGGCGTGAGGTGTGTCTGGGGGGAGGGAGTCAAAACCTTCTTAAAGGGTCAAATTTCCTTTTGTGGAATCAGCCTGGTTTAGGTTGCAAGGGACCTGCAAGAACATCTGGTTTTATTTGCTACCCAGGCAGGGACACCTTCCATTGTCCCAGCTTGCTCCAAGCCCTGTCCAGCCTTAGACACTTCCAGGGATGTGACTTTTCCCTTGGAATGTGCCTTGTTCTCCTTTCCTCTCATTCCAGTCCCGTGCCATGGATGCTGTCCTACACCCCGTGTGCACCATCCATCTTCCCAGCTGCGTGCTGTCACACCTTCCAGGGAGGGGCAGATGAAAAAAATTGGTCTGGACAGGGGTTCTTTGTTAAATGGAAAGTGTTTCAGTGGAAAACCAGCAGCCAAATTCTGGGGAGCCCCTGGTTCCAGGCGTGGCAGCACATCGCTGCACTGGCCCGTGAGAATGTGTCACCCCTGGGTTAAAGGCAGCCCTGAGAAAGCTGCCAGCCCAGGTGAAACCAGCCACAAGTGACTTCTCCCGTCCTCCTCAGAGGGAAGATAAATGTCATCAGTCATCAGCTGGCACGGCTTGTACAAGACACATTTTTCTCTCCCTGCTGCTGAGCTGGAGCCTCTCTGGAGGGAGCAGGGAAAGCACGGGGAGGACGAAGGGGAGCTGTGAATCCTGAACTCCTCCTGTCCCTCGGGTGGCTCTGTCAGTGCTGGGAGAAAAATGTGAGTAAAGCTGGGGAAAACGAGGCGTGTGACCACCCCAGGCAGCCAAAGCAGGGAGATAAATGGGTGCAAAAAAACCACCAATCCTCCAAAAGTTATTCCAGCTGCTCCCAAGCAAGGTGGGGAGAAAGCAGTGTGCTGAAAGGGTCAGGGCAAGGGGAGAGGATGTGGAGCTGCTTCTCACCCAGCTCCCAGGTAGTTTAAAACTAATGGTGAGGAACAATTCCAATTAATTCCAGTCCCCAGGGCCAAGGAATTGTTTCAGTGCTGGCCTGGGCAGGAGCAGGCAGGGATGGGGATTTTCATCCCAAGAGACAGGTGTGTGTCCTGGGAGCCAAATTCTGATCTGAGTGAGCCTCCCCTGCCCTGAGTTTCAATGGGAGATAAAATTATGAGTCTCCTCTTCCCTGAAACCCTGGTTCTTGCTTCTCTATGTCCCTTGGCAGGGCAAGAGAAGGTGATTCTCTGCTCAGATCTATTCAGACATTTCCGTGGGGATATTCCAAAATCTCTTCTGTGTATTTAACAGTCTTACCCATTATCTTATCCCGTCTCTCCTGGAGCTCAGACAACCTCTTGGCATCCTGCAGGAAGTGATCTCCCAGTCCAGAGGCCTCTGTTCCATGGGAAGTGGTAGAGCCACCGTCCCTGGAAGAATTTAAAAGTTGTATGGATGTGGCCCTTGAAGACCTGGGTTGGTGCTGGATTAGGCAGTGCTGGGGAAATTCTCAGACTTGATCCTGGAGGGCTTTTCCAACCTTAATTAATCTGTGAAGAACCATTTATCCCTTTCCAACAGCATCCCCAAGCCATGGGCTCTGTCAAAACACCTCCTGGGCGAGGCCTATCCTGGTATTTGTGCTCTCAGTTCACCCCAGGGAGAAAAGGACAGATCCTGCTGAATCGAGGATGGCTTTGGGTCATGCAGGTAAAACTCCACCACCAAACTCTGCTAGGAAAACATAACTCCGTTCAAATAACTTGCAAAGTGAACTGAGCTCCCCTCACCTCTGGAAAACGACTCCTGAGCTTGCTGCGATCCTCAGCGTCCTGGGGTAAAGCAGGTATTGGAAATCATTCCCTGCCTCAGCATTTGTTCTTGGCCTTGTTCTGCTCAGTAGCTGAGCTGTGCAGACTGGCAGCTCCTGTGACAAAGACCGTGGGGTGTCCCCTTCCCCTTCCCAAACATGCCAGCAGTCAGTGGGGTGGGATGAGTCCTGCAATTACCCTATTACATGGGATTACCTGATTTTGGAGCATTTCTAACCCTTGCCTCCCCCAGCAATTAAACTTAGTGGCTCTGAGGGAGAACGGACCCAGGCAGAGGAGGTGGGTCAGATTTAATCTCCTTGTATTGAGTTCACACATAAATAATTACCTGGGAACTTGCTGCTTCGATCTGCCCCACTGACCAACCTCGGCCACGGCCTGGGAAATACTCCTCAGTGAGGTGATTTGCATAGGATGAGCCAGAGGAGAAGTGCCAAGGAAAAGAAGGATTTTATTTATTATTTTTTAAACGCATCAGGCAGCATTTGCAGCATTTGCCCAGAGGGTATTCAGTTCTGGTATCGCTATTTTCGTGGTGGATTCTTTGCAGTGATTAATTGAAAGTGCCAGCATCAGGAATCATGGGAACATATGAGAAACCCAGTTTCTCTTTTAAAATAGAAGTTTTCTTCCCAGCGCGACAGAAAAAAAAAAACCTGGAGAAAGGTCATTATTAAAGAGATGCAAAACTCCTCTCTGCTTCTCATCTAATCTCGTAATTTTTCTTAAACTGGAGGAGAAGAAACTCTCTCTCTCTTGAAGTGCACCAGATGGTTGCATATCACCAAAATGGAAAAGCTGGCATCATCCAACCTTTGGGAGCAGATGCCCTGATTTTCCACACAGGCATGGCAGCCACCACCTCTCCTGTGTCTTTGGAGAGCTTTCCTGGCAAAGTTGGGCTGGTGGCTCCCAAACCAGTAAGTAACTGAAGTGTGAGGACTGGGGAGGATGTCTCCACCCATCCCTTCCCTGGATATAAACAGAAATTTCCCCCTTTCCCACCCAGCAGTCTGGCACTGAGCTGCTCTTGGTCAGGCTGGACAAAGCCAAGCTTTGTCCAAATCAGTCCCAGACAGGGACTAATTTAGGATTGAAGTCACTCAGGTGTTCAAGCAGTTCAGGTTTGGAACAGCAGGTCCAGCATGCTGGGGGTCACACCCACCACATTTTCCCTTATCCACTCGCTCAGGGCCATGGAATGATGGAATTGTTTAGGTTGGGAGAGAGCAGAGCTGGCTGTACCCTCCTGTCAGAGAGCTGTGGAGAGCAAGAAGGTCCCACCTGAGCCTCCTGTTCTCCAGGCTGAGCCCCCTCAGCTGCTCCCAGAGCTCCAGACCCTTCCCCAAATCAATTCCCTTCTCTGGACATGCTCCAGCCCCTCAGTTCCTTCCTGAATGGACAGGCTGGAGTGAGGGTTTGAGGTGCCTCAGCAGTGCCCAGCACAGCGGGACAATGTGTGAGGCATCAGCTTGGAGTGGGATTTCATGGATGTGTCCACACAAACTCTGCTTCGTTCCTAGTGAGCCATCCCTGCCTCTACAAGTCACATCCCCACATCCCCACGCCTATCCCAAAGCTTTTCCATCCTTTTCTGTGCATCCCTCCCCTCTCATTCATCCTGTTGTTTTAGCCACCATGGGCCAAATCCTCTCCATAGTGGCAAATCTCTCAGAAGCTGAGGGTTTGTAGTTATTTACCAGGGAAAGGATAACAAAAAACATCATTCTGCCCTTTCCCTCCACATTTACCAAATGGATTTTTGAGCTGCTCGCAGTCAGATTGCAATAAATACACTTGAAATCCCCTGCATGTAATGGTTGATGAATCCTGGATCATAATTCTGCTTGGGTTGGGTTTGCTGGCTGCTGCTGGGCCGTGTTTTCCTTTCTCCAGCCCTTCATCCTGCACAACTCTCTGGTGGAGAGTAAACTGGGAATAAATTGGGAATAATGGAAGCTCTGCTGACTAAATTTCACTTGTCAGTCGGAAAATTTCGTGCTGGGCGTGAAGTTCTCGCAAATAGCACAAGGTAAGAAGAAACAGAATATTGACCTGGGTGGGAGCAGCTTTGCTAATCCCCCAGGGGTCTGAGCCTTGGGAAGGAAGAGCAGCTTGGGAAGAAGGAACATCCACCAGCAGGGCAACACCTCTTGGATGGGTGTCATAGTCAGGTAGGAAAATTACAGAAGAAAGGCCCCATGAAATCAGGCTGAAATTGCCAAAGCTGGCCTGTCATTTCTTCTAAGTGCAGCTAACAAGCAATTTGCAAGTTCCCATGTGAAGCTATTTTGAGAATGAGAAGTTCCTTTAACACAACAATCTATTCTGAGAGTGAAAAACAAATGTACCTGTGCAACCAATGAGATTTATTCCATGAGAACCCACAAAGGAAGAATGTAAACATATCTAGAGAGAGAAAATTTGATTGACATACACAGTATGAATGAACTGAATTTCACTGCATTGCTGACCAGCTAGGTTTAACACACTGCCTTCTGGTATTTCCTACAAATATGAGCTTTGTGAATAAAGAATTGGCTTTCTGCACGAGGAAAATGGAGTCTCAGCTGGTTTATTCCAGCAGATGGGGATGGGGATGATTCCAGCTGAATGACCTTAGCACAACCCCATCCCTGCAGCCACCATCCCCAAAACCACAGTGGCAAAGGCAGCGGGAGGGGTTTGGGCAGACAGGGAGATCCCCTGGGATGAAAAGTGGGAGCTGGAGCTCGGTGCAACACCCAGGCAGGAAAATCCATGCCTGCCTCAGACTGATGATCTGTCGGGGGAAATGGAGCACGGATATTTTTAAAACGTGGGGCCATTAAGCTCTCCAAATGGGCCAGCTCACCTGCTATTTTAACAACACCTTGTGACAACATCTTCTTTTATAAGCGGTCCTTTCGGACTTATTAACTCTGAGCTGTCTCATCCCATTTGGAGAGAGGAAAATACCATCGAGTTGACCCCTGAAACTGTTTAATGAGCTTTTATGGGGCATGGGAAATTTAAGCACCAGCCCAGGACTTTGGGGAGTCAAAAAATAAAAAGCTGGATCAGGAGTGCTGGTATTTACACTGCTTTTTGTTTTCCTGCTCTTCCCTCTGCATGACCTTGTCTTTATTGTGGGATGGGTGTCCATGAGTTTCATCTGGAATCAGTGACTGTAACATGATGAAGAGGATGGGAATATTTAAAGTGCCATCCTGGCAATGTGAAGTGTCTGCAACTGTGGCACATCCCCCCTTTTTTTTTCTTTTTTCTTTTTTTTTTCTTTTTTTTTGCCAAAAACCATTTTCCTTTAAAAATACACCCCCTGTGAGTGTGCCTTTGGGCAAGGGGAGAGTCAGTACCAAGAGAAACAAGGATGAGGTCATGGAAAAGGGAAAGCCAGCTCAGTCTCACATCTGGGAATTGGCTGCCAGTGTGGAAGAAGGGTGGAAAAAGCGACTTTGGGGCTTCCCAGCCTATTGCTGCTGGTGGGGGCAGCTCAAGGATAGGGAGAGGATCGGAAACTCAGCTCTGCACTGGGTTTTTTTTCCCAAACAAACTTATTTCAGACAGTAATAATAATAATATGAGAACAATAATAGGCTTTAGGAAAAAAAAAGTCTTGTAATGAGACTCTGGGAAGCAGGAGAGTTTTCCCAGAGGATCCTGTGATGCTCCATCCACCTGCAGAGGCTTCAGCCACACCAGGGCTGGGATTCCTTGCCCTGGAATGGCCCTGCTCTCAGCTCCAAAGGAGGCTTGTGGGGGCTGCTGGTGGGTAGCAGGTGCTGGGTGGGTGCTCAGAGCCTCTTCTGGGCCCCGTGGGATGCACAGGTTGGAGATCCAGCAGTTCTGGAACGTCTGTGAGGGTTCAGTGTCTGTCACAGAGAGGTTTTTTTTTTACAGATAGTCCTTAGTAATAACAATTTGCTGAGGTCCCTGCTCTGCTTCTAAGGGTTTATATTTTCCTATGGTGAGCACCTTCTATTTTTCACCCTTAGGAATGAAAAAGGAAACCTTGGTCCTAATTCTTGGCAGAGCATTCTCCAAAGTGCTTGTGCTCTGCCTTGCTCCCCTTTTATTTACGTTACAATCATAGCAGAGCTTTGCTTGGAAAAACTGAGAAAGTAGCCAAGAAGAATACACACAACTGCCCAGGAGAGATAATCAGTTGTTAAAACATGCCTGCTGCTCTGATTAGAAAGGAAATGGAATTGGGTTTAAAGTGGAATTAACTGAACGCTCCCTTATCTTGTCCATCTCCTCTACTTGCCCAGCCCTTCTGGGCAAATATGATGGAAATGAAAAGAGAAAGCTGATCTCTGAAACCCCCTCTCCTTGGGCCTGAGCCAGGGAAAGACATCCCTTCCAGTCTGCTCATCCCAAATGTTCCTCCAGCTCGGCTACCACCAGTTACAGAGGTTCTCGCACATCTCGTGTTTCTCCAGTGCCTTGTACCAATTTGTGCCCTCCAGGGAAGAGGCAGAAATGGATGGATTGTGCCTAAAAGGTGCGTTAAGCTGCTAGAAATTATTTTTTTGTTTATTAAATCTGAGTTGATCCCATTTGACATTGTCACCTGCTCTGAGGGAAGGGTTATCATTGCTGCTGATGGAATGGGAATAACTCCAGCAGGTCCCTGTGAGAGGAGGAGTGCTCTGCCCTCAAATCTGTCCCCTCGAGGGGGACAGGGTGGGGAGGGTGCTACTGCTGCCCTTTCCCTTGGGTGGAATTCACAGGATCGCCAATGGGTTGGGATGGAAGGGACTCTAAAGATCCTCTAGTTCCATTTGGATTCCAACAGATTCCATCCTTCTGCCTGCCTCAAGGGAGATCCTTGCCCATAAAAGAGCCAATTGCTGGATGGCTAAAAAAAAGTACTGTCCCCAGCCTTTGTAATTTGTACTTCCACAAAACTGTCAAGGAAGCAAAATGCGATCGATGGCTCAGAGCTGAAGGCTTCAATTTAATCTCTGCAAAGATTAATCTCTGAAGAGTCGAAGTTTTCTCTTGTTATCTCTTATTTTGCAGTGCCGCCAGAGCCCCATCCCGTCACGCTCAGACAAAATCCTCAGGTAATTTCATACCTTTGCACTTGTTTCCTTTCCTTAAATAAACCCCCCTGCTCATCCAGAGCATCAGCTGTACCAACAAATTCCGAAATCCTGTTCTCTGGTTGAGGCACTGGCAAAAATGAAAAAAGGGGATGATGATTGCCCAGAGCAGCTGTGGCTGCCCCTGGATCCCTGGCAGTGCCCAAGGCCGGGTTGGACAGGGTTTGGAGCACCTGGGACAGTGGAAGGTGTCCCTGGAATCTTGTTTGGCCAAGCCCAACCCTGGGATGCGGCGCTGTGAGAGGAAATCTCATCCTCCATGAGGATCCTCTGCCCTCTCCAGTCTGCTCAGCCACAAGGAGCTCACCGTGCAGTCGCTGTCAGGTGGCTGAGCTGCAGCTTTTGGTGGGCTTTTTGCTTGTTTCTGGGTATTTCAGTCTGCTGCAATTGGCCTGCAGGCCTTGCTCCCCTTCCTGACCGTTTGTTGTGCTGATTGTTTGCCATGAAAATTTGGGCTTGAGCCAGGGAGAGAGGCAGTCTGTAAACCAGCTGGTGCCTGGAGCTGGTCAGAGCACTGGGCTGATGCACTGATTATTTTGTGATGACTTGTTTTGATCCAGAGCCATGAAGAGGTGAAGGTTTGGCCTTTACCAGACAGGAGTTATCACTCTCCTTAGAAAAATACCAAAACCACAAACTCCATTAAAAAAAAAACAAAACGAGCTCTGCACATTGACCCAAATGTTTGGCTCCTTCTTCAGGCCCTGTTCGTGCTGAAAAATAGTGAATAAATGTTGAATATGACTTGAGGCTTTATAGTGGATGGTGGTCCATAGGAGAGGGAGATTTTGGGATTGCTCCACGAGGATGTTGGCAGGACATCAGGACAGGAGAAAGCATCACTGGTAACTCCTGCTTTCATGACCTGTCTGGTGCCAGCTCAGAAAAGACTTGTGGGGTAAGAGTGTGAAAACTTGCTCTCAGAAAAATTGGGAGGCAAAAAAATAACAAAAACCCACTGGGATTGAAAAGGGATGATGGGAATTGTGAGCAGCTTTTGGGTTTCATGGTGCTCCTGGCACCCCCAGGTGCAGCTCTGGCAGGGGGATGAGCTTCCCCCATCACTCCCAGGTATTTGGGATGTTCCTCTGGGAAGATGTTCCTCAGGATGCCCTCTGTGCAGGCCATGGCATGGGGTCAGCCTGGGATCACTGCTGGGTTAGAAAGAGGTAATAATTCATGTCTCTGTTCCTGGGTCACACTTGAAATTAATGAATGGCTTTGCAAAAATTGGCCACTTTCCTTTGATTCATTTGGTTTGGACTCTTTCTCTGCCCATGGATGCCCAAGCACAATTAGGTCATGATTTTAAGCTCTCTTCCAGCCTGGAAAAGACAAGGTTTTATTTTGTAATGAGGTGCTCTGCTCATCCCACGACTCCTGAAGCAGAGGGGGAAAGCAAATGCAGTGAGCACCCTGTGATGAGACTGGTGTGAGTGGCACGTGGATCTCCACCCCTAAGAGGATTCACAGGGTTGCAGTGAAGTCATCCCAAAGCATTTGCTGCCTGCTGCAGGTCTTAAAGGGCCAGAAAATGAGAGGCTGCCCCAGGGAGGCTGAACAAATCCCTGATGGTGAGGCAGAGAGGTGAAAGTGGCTCAGAACCCCAAAAGTTTTGTGTTACAGGTGGATAAGAGGAGCATGGGAAGTGGCATTTCTGTGAGACCCCATTGAAGAGGGGTTTTTGGCAGGCACCACGTTGGGGAGAACTTCTTTGTGGGCAGAGGAACATTAAGGGGAGTTTGGAGGCTTTCCTTTCCTAGAAGACCTTGAGGGATGAGTGCATGTAAAAAGGAAAAGCCCCACAAAAGCTGCTGTGGCTTGAGATCACAACCTCCTTGCCACCCTGCAGGAACCCAGGCTGCTGTTCCCTCTCCATTATCACCCAAATCTCAGGTTGGGGTAGGTGCTCCTGCTACTGCTGCTGGCCTTTCCCTTGGGTGGAATTCACAGGATCACCAAACAGGTTGGGATGGAAGGGACCCTAAAGATTCTCTAGTTCCATTGGGATTCCGACAGATCCCAGCCTTCTGCCTGACTCTAGGAAGATCCTTGCCCATAAATGAGCCAGTTGCTGGATGGCTAAAAAAAATTTGGGGTGATTTGGATGCTGTGCTGACCCCTCCTGCTCCTTCACCCACGGGGGCTGCCTGTCTGGGTGGTGGTGACAGCAAAACAAGAGGGAAAAAAAGGAAACCACCTGCACAAGAGGGGAAAATAATCAAGCCAAGGGAAGGAAAAAAACAACCCAACTTGTCCTCTTATAACATAAAAGCCCTCCTCCCCTGGAAAGAAATAAAAGCCAGAGTGAAATGAAGGTAAATGCCAGAGGTTTAAGTACTGAGTGTGTTTTAAAGGTTATCTTTCAGGGGGTTGGAGAGAGAGCAACAGAAAGGGAAGGAGCTGGAGCACTTCCCATTGCAAGGGCCACTCCAGCTCTTAATGGATTTTTATATCCCTGTCTGCTTTTTGTGACATTATTAAAATTGCTTATTTTTAATTTTTTTCCCCTGCTTTCTTCATCTGGGGGAAGGGGTCGGAGAGGGCAGCAGGAGGACAAACTCTGTTGCCGTGGCAATGTCCAGCTGCACATCTGCATGGCTTATTCAGAGCAAAACCAAAGTTTTGGTTAGTTTTTGAAGAGGAGAGAGAGGAGCTGTGTCTAGGTGTGTGTGCATGCTGGGACAAAAGGCACAGGGTTTAATTACAGGCATGGGGAAGTGACATTTCCAGGGCTTACCTGGTGAGGAGAGAGAAATGAGGAGCCTGCAGGAAGGTAAACACCTGTGTATAACAGGGATGCTGCATGGCAGAGCCCCCTCTTTGAGGTCCATCTAGCAAATATCATCCCATTTCCTACCCAAAAACATGCCAGACTTCTGGAAGAGCAATCCCAAAGACAGCAGTGGAGAAAGCAAAGCTGTGCTCTGCCTGAGGGGAGGGGAACAGGATTCCTCCCATCCCAAATCCAGGCACAGGGGAAAACTCATCCACTGGGGGTGGCTGCTGTGCTTGGGAATCGTGTTTCCTCCTTCCAGCCCCTCAGCCCCTGGGCTGGGTTTGCTGGCTTTAGCTCCATTTCCCTGGCAGAAACTGTGCCCAGTGGTGTTGGGAATCCCTCGTGGCCACAGGAGCTCCTGATCACCCAGAAGGAGCTGTCTGTCCCAAAAGTCCCATTTTCCCCTCCTGTCCAGCCCTTGGGGAGAATCCTATATCAACAGAGCTTTGTTATCTGCCTGGGTGAGCTCCTTATCTCCCCAAGTGCCTCATCCTCATCATCAGCTGAGCTGGGAAAGGGTCTTGGGGTGAGGGGATGTGGCACTGGGGGAGGTGGGAGGGCTGTTCTCCTCAGTTTTAGCCACTCTCACAGCTCCTGCAGTGAGGGGTTTCTGTTAATTTTGGGGTTTTCTGAATTTTTTGGGGGTTTTACCTCAGGTCTAAGTGATTTTAAAAAATTACACAGTCTCTTGTTTCTTCTGCTCTGATTTAACCAGAAATTCCACCTTGAAACCACACTGGAAACACCAGGGGGAAAGTACAAGACAAGCAGTCCTTGGGAATGTATGGAATTGACACAGAAGTCATGGAGCAACTGAGCAGTGACAGGGCTGGAAAGGTATGAGGGTTTGTGCTCGTTCAGGTAGGGATGGGAATGAAGATATTTTATTTTTAGAAGGTAAAGAATGAACTTATTAACAAATAGTTTTGTTTTGTTTTGGTTTGGTTTTTTTTAAACTAGGATTTTTAAGGTGAAATATAATTAGTTGTAAACTTTTTACACTATTGGTACGCTTAGACTTAGTTCAGTGCGGCAGAAGAAGAAATCTATAAAAAATATGAACAGAAAGAGAAAAAATAAATTGTTTACATTCTTCCCAAACTTTTCCCCAAGTTTAACCTAGCAGAAATCTTTCTCTTTTTCTCTCTAACTAAACAAAGAATATTTACAAGTGTTTGGTTTTTTTGGGGGGGTTGTTTTTGGTTTTTTGTGGGTTTTTTTTTGTTTTTTTTTTTTTTTTTTTTTTTTTTTTGTTGTTGTTGGTTGGTTTTTATTGTTCTGTCTGTTTGGTTTTTAGTTTGATTTTTTCTTTTGCAAGAGCAGGATTTTGCATCCTCCTTTAAGGAAAGCACCAGCACCTTCTTGGGCTTGTTCCTGGAGTGAGGGCAAAGGAGAAAGGATGGGCTCTCAAAAAGGGAATAAAACCACTGGTTCCCCCCTCCTGAGGTGATTTGCTGTGTGCCAGAGGATATATTTAGGCTGGGATTAATTTCCCATGCCTCCCAGCAGCCCAGAGAGCCTCACAGGGTCCCCAGTGCCCCCAGTGCCAGACCCCACAGGAGCTCTGGGTGACAATGGCACTAAAGTGGGAGGGGGGTAAAGCCACAGGAGCGAGGGACAGAGGGAGATGGAGTTGGGTAATTCCCCACCTGCATCTTTCCATTCTTTTGCACGTGAACAAGGTCTGCATCCCAGGCAGGGGCTGGGGGCTGTGGGGGTGTGGGAGCCCAGCACATCCCTCTGGCTGCCCTGGCTGGCTCCAGACCACGTCAGGGAGCTCAGAGACCTTGGCATGGAGTCAAAACCACCTGTGGCTTTGATTTTAGCCCGTGGGAAAAGCTGCCAACTCTGTGTGAGGAATTACAAACCACAAGGGTTTGAGTAGTGTGGTAGTTGAATTAACACAGAGTGAAAAAGTAGAATTTGGGGGTTTTTAGACTAGGATTCATGGGGTCAAGATGGAGGGATTTGGGCATGTCCTGACCTTCTCCTCCTTGTCCTCCATGTCTTGCTGTGATGGTGACACTTTTCTGTTGGTTTAAGGCACAGACACACTGTCCAACATAGATGATAGGTATTGGCACAATATTGTAAATATAGTACATGTAATTTTTGGTATAAAATATAAACACCACCCTGAGGGCAGACAGAATGCCATGGCCGAGCTGCTGGACAGAGCTCAGCAGGTCAGAGAAAGAATGTTCTAGATAGGGGAAAATAAACAACATTGAGAAGCTGATCCTGCACATTCAGACTCCTCCTTTGTCAGCACGGGCTGGGAAACAAGAATTTTACACTCTTGGGGTCACCTCAGTGCCCAGACCCCAGGATGGGCAGCGATGAAACCTGGCAGCACCACTTCCAGGTGTTCTCCAGGGGGCCAAGGGATGGAGCTGGGTGTCACTGCTGCCATCCTGCAGCCTCGGGGAGCTGGGTGCCCAGCTTGGCTCTCCCTCAGCGTGCTCACACACATTCTTGGAGCAAAATGCAGCTGTTGAGGAGTTTGGGCAGCTTTGGTGTTCCTCAGGAGCAGAAAACATCCAGCAGCAGGGAGAAGAATCAGAGGGTGTTAGCATGGAACTGCCATCAGAGTGAATAAAAGGAGTTTATTTTGCCCTTTTCCCTGCATTTGATCAATAACAGCAAAAGCAGGGTAGTGGGACCAGAATCAAATAATCATTTAAGTTGAAAAAAGGACCTTTAAGATCCTTTAAGTCAAACCATTCCCCCAGCACTGCCAAACTCACCACTAAACCCTGTCCCCAGGTGCCACATCCACAGGATTTCCACATCCCTCCAGGAGTAGGGAGTCCTGCTCTCCTCTGGCAGCCTGTGCAACTACTTGGCAACCCTTTCCATGAAGGATTTTTTCCTAATATCCAATCTAAACCTCCCCTGGCACAGCTTGAGGCTGTTTTCTCTTGTTCTTTTGTACCTGAGAGCAGAGCTTGACCCCTCCTGGCTGCCCCTTCCCATCAGGGAGCTGTGCAGAGCCCCCTGAGCCTCCTTTTCTCCAGGCTGAGCCCCTTTCCAGCCCCCTCAGCCTCTCCTGGGTCTCCAGCCCCTTCCCCAGCTCCCTTCCCTGCCCTGGACGTGCTCCAGCCCCTCAGTGTCTGTCTTGAACTGAGGAACAACTGGAAATGTCTGGAGCTGTTTATTTTGCCCTTCTCTCCATCCAAAACCTGAATGGATGTGTTTCTTTGTCCCAAGGCCAGGCTGGGCACAGGGTGAGTGGGAAAGATTGGCACGAGAGAGTCACAGGAACAGGCTTAAAAATATAAAAAACATATCCCTGGAAATTTCTGGAGCATTTCCCATCCCAGACAAGCCGACCTTCAACTGGTTGAACTCCCTCCCCCAGTTTTAACAGCTGTCAGTGCAAACACAAGGTGGCTGTTCCTGGAAACACTGAGCTATCCCCCAAGCCTTGAGAGAAACTCATGCTGCCCTTGTCCCTCCAAGGAGGCTTCATTCCAGGAGCTTTATTTATCTCAGGAGCATCACACCGTTCTCTGGGAGCTCGCCCTCTGCTTTGACCCTCAGAAAACACGTCCTGAAAGATGTCACTTGGCAGCAGAAATGTGCTTGTCTGGAAAGCTGCAGGATGAAGCTGAGGAATTGAGCCCTAGGAAGGCACAAGGAGATCCCCACTGGAGGGGGAAAATCTGAATAAGAAGCTGATAATCCCCAGTTGTCACAATTACTGTGGGTAGTTAATTAGCAGCAGTGAGTGGCAGCAGGTGACTCAAGCTGACTCAGGAGGAGTCCCAGGGAGCACCCCTGTCCCAGAGCCTGGCCACAGTGTGGCTTGAAGCAGCCTGGGCTGTTCTGGGCACTGAGGTGACCCCAAGAGTGTAAAATTCCTCGTTTCCAACCCGTGCTGACAAAGAAGGAGTCTGAAATACGTAGGGTTGGCTTCTCAAGGCTATTTTCCCTTATCTAGAACATTCTTTCTCTGCCCTGCTGAGCTCTGTTCAGCAGCTCGGCCATGGCATTCTGTCTGCCCTCAGGGTAGTGTTTATATTTTATACCAAAAAGTACCTGTGCCATGTTTACAATAACGTGCCAATATCTGTCATTTATGTTGGACAGTGTGTCTGTACCTTAAACCAACAGAAAAGTGTCACCATCACAGCAAGGCATGGAGGGCAAGAAGAAGGAGAAAAAGGTCAGGACATGCCCAAATTCCTCCATCTTTTCCCCCTGAACCCCATTCTAAGAACCCCAAAATTCTACTTTTTCACCTTCTGTTAATGTAAATATCACACTGCTCAAACCCTTGTGGTTTGTAATTCCTCACACAGAGTTGGCAGCTTTTTTCCACAGGCTAAAATCAAAGCCACAGGTGTTTTTGACTTTGTGCCAAGGTCTCTGAGCTCCTGCCAGGGTCTGGAGCAGCCAGGGCAGCCAGAGGGATGTCCTGGCTCCCACAAGAGGGGCCCTCTCAGAATGCCATCGGGTTTGCCCACTGTGGTGCTGAGTCCTGCTGTAAAGGTAATTAAAATTAATTAAACAGCCTGGCTCCATCCAGGGGTCAGGCTCCACAGGAGAAGTGGTCACTGCTGCAGGAGCTGCACAGCTCAGAGTGAGAAGGAGCTTTTGACATCCCCGAGGTGCCCAGAGCAGAAGCAGATTTCAGCCAAGGAGCAGGGCTGGTAAGAGGCACTAGAGACCCCTCAGCAACACCCCCCTGCTCCACAGCCACAAACTCCATTCCAAACAGCCACCTCCAGCCCCCACAGAGATGTCAGGATCTCCAAAACTCCTCAGTAGCTCCTGTTTTCATCACCTGATCCGAATTCCAGCTGCTGCCACCCTCCTACGTTTCTCCCCTTTAGCCAGCACGGGGTTGTGGGTGCAAACAGAGATCCTGAGCCCCATTTCAGCGTGTGAGGATGGAAATTAAAGCATTAAACAGAGCTCTTTGGACAAGGACATGGAGTGACAGGATGAGGGACATGATTCACATGGACAGAGGGCAGGGTTAGCTGGGATCTTTGGAAGAAACTCTTCCCTGTGAAGGGGGTGAGGAACTGGTAGTGAATTCCCAGAGAAGCTGTGGCTGCCCCATGCTTGGAAGTGCTCCAGGCCAGGCTGAATGGTACTTGGGGCAACCTGGGATAGTGGAAGGTGTCCCTGCTGTGGGAGCAAATTCATCTTCAACAAGCTCATCCTTGCAACCCCAGCCACGCTGTGATTCCATAGCCAGGAAGAAGACCAGGAAACGCAGCTCCAGGCTCACCACAAATGGGAATGCACTGGGATGTGTGGCTGGAGACCTCCACCTGTGACCTTCCCAGATCCAGCCTGCCTGGTGGGTCCCCCTGCAGACCCCTGGGGCTGCTGGCAGCTGAAATGCAGGCAGGGAGCACCACGTGTCACTCATCAAAGGATGCTCCCAGCGCTGGGCAGTGACACACATTGTTAGCAGGGCCAGGCTGAATCAAGAAAAACAAGTGAGATGACACTCAGAGATCAGTAATTCCTCCCCCTCACTCATAACTCTGTCAGCCCTTTCAGCTGGATTGTCAAAATACGTTTGTCACAGAACAATTCCTACTCTTCTTTTATTTTCTGCGATTATTGTTTTTTCCTTTCTTTCTGACGCTGGCTGAACTCATCCTTTTGGAACAAAACCCAATATTCATTTCCTCTCTGGGCAGTTGATTTTATTATTGGCTCACCTGCTCCAGCAGTTGAAAAGCTATAAGACTGGCTGGGTCTTCAAAATTAAATTCTGCCTGGATTTATTTTTTTTTTCTTTTTCCCCAGCCTCACGTATTCCATGACTGCAGGTTACTGGCAGGGAATTGAAGATGTACTTGGCAAAGGTACTTTCTGTCTGGGGCAGGGATGAGCAAAACAGGAAGCTGTTTCTCTCTAAGTCAGCATCTTTCCAAAGGCTCAGCCTGTTCCAGACCTTGCTTGTGCCTTGCCCACCTTCTCCTGGGGATGAAGTGGAGCTGCGGGCAGTCACTGGTGATGTTCTGTTGGGAAAAGGAAGCTGAAAGAGGAAAATGTGGGATACTTGGAGGGTTTTTTTGAGGGGAGGAAAGCTCCAGCTCACCCTCAGCTCAGCAGCTGGTGATGTCTCAGGTTTA